GCATTCCTCTTTAAGTATTACGTCTGATCTACACTCATTTCAGTTTCTTTGTTGTTTTTAGTCTACCCCTTAATATTCGTTATACTCCGTGCATTTCACTCTGCATATTCAACAATTATATCACTTATACTCGTTTGTAAAGAAGATTTGGGCTTTTGATTAAAATGAAAATATCGTTTTAAAAATCATCTCGACTTGTCTACACACGTTTCATTTAGGAAATGATACTACAACAATTATACTACACATTCGCACGCACAGGCACGCATACGCACGCACGCACGCACACTCATATGCACAGGCGGACGCACATGCGCAAATGTAGGAGAGTGTTCGAGAGACCATTATTACATTTTAACAAGTATTAAAATAAATATGCGGTAGAATTCCGTGAAAATAATAGGTAAAAATAATAACGTGTATACTGATTTAATAAAAGCCATCAAATTTCCTTAATACTCCAAAAGCATGAATATACAAGCAAATTATTATTTCAAATATCGATCCAATCTCCTTCGTGAATTAGTTCAATTAATAAAAAAATAATAATAGCTGTATTTTTTTTTTTTCATTTTTCTTTTTTTTCCATTTCTTTCTTTTTTCTCTCTTGCTTTTCATTTCTCCTTCTTCTTCCTTCTTCTTCTTTCTCTCTACTTAATAGTTTCTACTACCTTAATAAATGAGAGGATTGTAAGTAATGAATATTGAAATGTTTCGGTGAATTTAAATAAGCGGTCGAAGGTAATTTCATCAATTTAGCCATCCATTACGCGGAGCTTTCATTGTCATTGTGATAAATAAAAAATGGCCTAAGAACGAACACCCGTAAATAATTGTCGCTTTAAAAAGAAAAAAGGAAAAAAAAGGGTTAGTTAATAACGAGTGCGCCGCTTGTTATCTAAGAAGCACTAGATGTTGAGTCGCTATGTAGACACAGTCGCCGCCGAGGGAGCAGAATTCATTTCTGATTGACACAAGTGCCGTGGTGCTTGCTACGTTCGATCGTTTCACATGTAAATGCATCGAAATTGACACGCGCGACTCTTGCTGAGGTACTTGCCCAACGCTGCAGCTTAACGCGACGCATTTTACGAAAGGAGATAGCGCGTGCTTTATAATGCTCGTTGCTCGCTCGCATTGTGCGGCTGGCAGAGTAAACAAACGCACCCGATGTCGAGAAATCGTTTCCCTGTGCCTTGTCCATTCAATTTCCATAAATAAAATTCGATATACCCGTGGATATCATCATGAATAAATGCTATTTCCGAACGACCGCCTTACGTACGAAAAGCTAGAGAAAAATGCATTGACATCGTCTGCAATGGAAATTGGTTGTCGGTAGGCGACATATATTAATGTCGAATAAATTAAATGCGAATGTCAATGAAAGGCAGGTATTAACAAAGGATGATTCTTTACTCATTGGACCACAAAGTCGATTTTTTATTTCACGATCCGAAAGGAAAGAAGAAGTGCTTATTGATTCTCAGCACGTCTGAGAGTCAGCATATAATAAAGGACCCGTGGCTCATAGGTACCCGGGCGTTATGAATACGTCGTGACCGATATTTATCGTCGGGTTACGCCCACCAAAGTACACGACAACGGCCTGTCGCCGCTACTTTACGATCACCCCGTATAACGCGAGGATTAGTTTGTCAACGCCTAGACGCCCGCGCGTCTACTATGTGCAAGCTGCATGTCTGCAGTCCAACTTTCCCCGCTCAAATTGGTCTATTCCGAGAGCGCGCGCCTTCTTGAACTCTATAAAGTATGGCTTTGTAAGCGCAAGCCACGCGAATCCTCCTCGTAAACGACTCGTCGAATCTTCCCATTAACTTCATTTTACTTTTAAGCAAGACCTTACTTCATCGCCCGGCATTCATTCCGACTCTTACAATCGCTTTAATAATCATCGGTCCCGCGAATGCAATAACCTAATTGCTTGTTTCTTGCGCCCGGTATTGCGATGGAACGGGGGGGGGTGAAGGGTTGACAACCGATGGCGTTAATAACCGACGTTATTGGTGAGTCCTGGAATTTTCAAGTCGCGTTTTTCGACGGGCCGATCCAATTGACAACAGATCCTCGTTATTTTGTTATCCTCTTGCCCCTAAACTCTATGATTAACTCATAATTGTAAATAGGGGTGGGATTGGCGAGGAGTTACACGTATCAACTTATGAGGAAATACGGAGGCAACTTTTTTCAGCGGCAAGAGGAAGAGAGTGGCGAAGTGAGCGGCGGTTTCTTATATAAAAGTATTTCTCGAGAGTCGAAAGATAAAGAGAGAAGAAAGAAAGGTTAGTCGCCTCGTTGGCTTTATCATAGAAATGAGAGCGGCCGCTCATTCCCGGAATCTCGGCGTGATTTTTCGCACGCAAAACAATTAGGTGGCTTGGAGGAAGATGGCACGAAGACGTCAGAAAATTCCGCTGGACGCAGCAGGCGCTGATCATGGGAGCCCGTCCGAGTGGTCGCACGCTACTCAATATTCTTTCGTGATAAAGAGTGGACGATAGAAAGGGAGGCCCCTTTTCGTCTTCATCTTCATCTTCATTCTCATTGTCGTCGTCTTCGTAGTCGTCGTCGTCGTCGTCGTCGTCGTCATCAACGTCCTCGTTGTCGTCGTCGTCGTCGTCGTCGTCGTCGTGAACGTCGTCGTCATTGTCGTCATCATCATTATCGAGCTCGTCGTCATCGTCATCGTCGTAGTTGTCCTCGTCATCGAGCTCGTCTTCTTCGTCCACGACTAGTCACAATTGTAACAATATCTCAGGCGAAGGATGCTCCGCTCAAGTTCAAGAGCCGCACTCAGGGACGCGTACTCGCGCTTCTTCTCTACGATGTCCGACCTCGTCGTCGCGCTTTCGCGTAAGCGAATTTTTCCGACGAGAGTTGCGAGTCTCGCGGATAAGATAGAAGCGACAGTAGAGTGCAAACCATGAGAAGAAGTTCAAG